CAGGAGGTACGAGTACATCATCATGTCCTCGCCGAAGGTCTGGTCGAGGAGGACTGGACATCCACCATTCTGCACAAAACCTGTAGATGCACATACTTGCAGCATGTAGTGGGTCCTTTGCTCGAGACCACGACCAGGCCATCTCACTGTCGTAGAAATGCCCATAGACTTTGCTCGCAGCCGCTATGCTTGTGATGAGCTGAGATCACATCTCCACCATACAGTATTGTCAGCACCATGTTCGTCAGAGTGAGCCGCGTCTCCTACATCTCTGCGCACGTGTCGTGTGTGCCTTGGGGTGGGATCTGTGCTTCCCACCGGTGTAGTTCGCTCCCAGAGCTCATAAGCCGCATTCGCCTGGACCACCAAGCTTACCCGACATATTTCGAGCGGTCACAATCGTCCGGCAAGAGGGGATGGCCAGATTCAGCTTGTGCATGGCAAGTGGTAACCCCAGCTCCTTGTGCAATCTTTCACCGACCCGATGTACATGGTCTCGCACATTTCTCTGCACCTGCATGCTACGTGTGTCACTTCGAGCTTCAATTCATCCTCCATGATGGGTATGAGTGCCATCTTCGCCTCGAATGTAGCACTAGCAGAGCATGCGACGATGCCCCTCTGAGGGACGGGATGGTCCATCAACATGCCGTCATACTGGAGAAATTGTGGCCACAGTTTGCTCTGAATTGACATCGTGAGGGCTGCCACTGGAAAGTTGGTGATCTTGCAGTTGGTCTCCAGCAGGTCCCACGGCGCGTTCTCTTAGAACTCAAGGAGGTCCCACAGCACTGCGATGTAGTAGATGCTCATGTTGTCCGTCCCCTTCCGAGATAGCAGCATGTCGTCACACAGCGTCGCTAGGCCCACGTCCTCGCGACGTATTATATTGCCCACCAAGACCTTGGCGGCGCTTCCATCGACGTAGGCGGTGCCTCCACCGCCTTCAGATATTTTGGGACGTGCTGGGTAGAAGCCTAGCGGGCGCCTGCCATCACGAGGTTTAAGATTGAGTTGCGCCGCCAACTTCTGAACAGATACAGGGGTCTGGCCACGCATCCATGAAAAGAGCTCGCTGGGGATCCAAGTTGGGGTGAGCTCTGGCCAGCAGCACCGTTCTCACAGGCATCCCCCATCCATTGAATAGGCGATCCTCCAGGTAGACCTCGTTGATAGCCTTTGACGTGCGACACCTCCTTCCATGCAGTTTGACACCAAGTGTCATTTGAATAGCTTACCGTGGACAAATCTTTCACCAGCTGGTCTCCATGCAAAGTGCGCTGGTCCCCTGCCCTACTGACCTCCGCAAAGATCACATCAAGCATTGACTCTGGCCTATCAAGGTCAGGATCTTGCAGGGGTGGTCCAACGCGCCTCTGGGCTGGAGGTGACTCGTGGGGCCTGGCCACTCTGACCTTCTCCTCTCCTGACTTGGCCTTGCACGCAAGCTTCACAGGCCTGTGTGGGCCCACTGGTACACCCAGCAATGTCCCGATACTTTTCACCAACACATCAAGAGGCTTGCTCATCACGAAGACATCTATCGTGGAGTGGTGCTCGTCCAGTACATGTGACGGGTGGCCTTCATGTCCACGAACGAATCCATCTAGCAATTGCAATCGCAATCGCATGTGGCGGGCTGGTCCATCCTCTCACGAAAGGCGTTCTATGAGATAAGGTAGCTGCTCCCAGTCATCTGGCCAACTTCCAGTTGCGCGGAGTAAGACACTCACGCCCGCGAACATGTAGACCGCGCCGGCCATGAAAATCTTAAGCTCGGCAGGACGCACGGAGCACCTGGCAGCACGTCTTGGATGAAGGCATCCCCCATCAGGCGATCATTCGCCCAAGTGATAACGACTTAGAATGCAGACACCTCCAGATGCTCGCCCTGTCTCAGTAGCCGCAGCTGGCCCTCCATACGTAAACCAGCCGAGACGGGCCATATTCTCAACCATGTCTGCGTACCTGGTAGCCAACAGTATATGCTCTTGGGCCAAACGAGAAGCAGAACTGGGACGTGGAAAAACGTTTTCTGCCGAAAACCATACTGAGACATTCGCTGGGATAGTGGCATACATTAGGTATCCATGTACTTCTTGTTTCCCTGCTCCAGTCCTCTAGGCTGACCATGTCCCGATGAAGCCGACACGGAAGAGCTAGGTACATGTGACGGATGCACGCCTTTGCCAATATTTTTGTCGAACGGACGATTCGGGGACTCAGCATTTGGCGCATTGAGAATCGCCTAAGCCTTGGCTCTGGCTGATGATATAGATGTGCCCGGTGACGGTGCCGATGTAGTTGATGAGGATGCCGTTGGACGTTGCGAAGCGGTCGCTCCACTACTATCCTGAGACTTCCCACGTTCACGCTCACCGCCGCCAGCAGACTGACCTTCATTCGTTGTTTGTTTCTTACCTTCTAACCTCACATGTTGCTCCTGATGTCTCCTTCTGAGCTCCTCAGCTCTTTGTTTTACCATGCCGAACATATTTTCGCCTGCTCCGTGAAAGCTGATTTGAAATACGAAATTCTTGTCTCTGCCTCCTCCAATTCACCTGGGTCGCCCGGGTTGACGCCCAGGAAAGATACCTTTACCTCCATGGTGTCCCCGAGAGAGAGACCACACCAGCAGGGAACGACCCGAACTGCTGAGACTGGCCCTGGACACCTGCATGGAGGTGATGCGAAGCTTACTTGAAGATGGATTCCTGTTCGTCCAGTTGGGTAGTAAGCTGCTTGATCTGGCCCATATGGTACTCCAGCTGGGATGCCGCACGAGTATGCGCTTCGATATGGTGATTGAGCTGGCGTTCTAAGTGCTGGATCTGCTTGTGGGCCTTGTCTGCCTTATCCTTGGGAGACAAGCTGATCTCCCGACTCTTGCCACGACTGATGTCGAGCCAGGCATTGTACTTCTCCACATATGCGGTACGTCCTGCCTTTTGGTGAGTAGCCACGAGCTGTACAAGATCTGCCTCACACAAGTCTCCTCCGCACTCGTTGTCGGTGCCCCAAGTGCTGTCGGAGAGTGGCTTGAGCTCGAACGCTGGTACATTACCATGAGGCTCGGCAATGTTTACACCAAGTTCAGTGCTTCTCATTGCGGGCGCAGCCGAGCTTTGAACATTTCCAACAACCAGGAGGCTTAGGTGCAGGAGCCACGATGATGCCGGGTGCGCGCGTGCGAGCGTCGTAGTTACAGAAAGGGCTGGGGCCGCTGCTCCCCTGTGCCAGATCCTCAAAGAACGGTCTGCGTCTGAAGTTCCTCGGGCTTGCCGCACGGCTGCGGACAAGCTCGAAGCCTCGCGACACAGGTTTCGACGCGGTTTCGACCTTGAGGCAAACTGGCTACGGAAGAAGCAGCCTCCTCCCAAGAAGGCTTCCCCACGTGTGTGCGCCGCCAACGATGGGGGCTCAGTCCCCCAGTCGTTGCGACCGAATCATGCCAGCTGGTGTGCACAGCACAGGCTTCTGGACGCGCGCCCTGGGCCCCGAGATCATCAGAAATCGAAAAGCCGGCCCCGAGGGAGGGGTTGAGAGGTCCGGGGAGAACACATCACGAATTCAAAGCACGACGTCGGTATTGCAAGTTGAGCTCCCGCTCTGGATCCTGACTCCCGGAGGTCCCCAGAAGTCTCATGAGGTCCCCGGAGGCTTCCAGAGTCACAGCGGGACCCTCAAACGCTCGAACAAATCCGCGCTCGACCCTCCAGGTCCAGGGCCAGGGGAAAACTTGGCACCTGGGCAGGAGGGATGGAGATGAGCACGAGAAAGATGGCAATCCCTCAGTGATTTGATCAACTGATCCAGTGTTCCCGCACGCAGCCTGACGGGTTTCCTTTGAATGTCACCCACTCGGCCCAAGTCATTTTACCTTTGACGCTTCCAGATCAAAGCCAATGTTTTTCTCCACCCGCAGCTTTCAGCTTTGTGCCGGCGGAGGATGAGGTCGGCAGCAAGTGATGGGAAGGGTTGTGGAGCGAAACCAAGCATCGATGGCCCTGCCCGACTAGAGGGGAAATGGGGCAACGACCACCCGTAACAAATATCGCGCCGCTCCCCACGCCTCCCCCCTCGTGTCGTGATTGCCGTCTGTAGTTCCCCTCCTCCTCCTCCTCCTTCTCCTCCTCCTCCTCCTCCTCCTCCCAGTAGCGCCATTAATGGGATGAGGGGGAGGGAGGGAGAAACGGGGTGAAAGGGATTCGACTGCGCCACTATTCACTATTGTACGGTCGAGCATCTGACTAAGAAACTTCCTCCCGAAAAGTTGGGCCAGCGTTTCTTAACCAACTTGCCGCACGTCTTCCGCACCAACTTGCCGCACTCCCTGGCCAGCTGGCCCAGTTTCTCGTACACGTTTGCCCCATCCAGCGACAGCAATAGACATTGGCCCAGGCTTGTTTCCAGAAGCTTCCAGGAAGCTGGGCCCAGGTTCCTTGAATGATGCTTCTCTTGATCACAGTTACGGCTGTAGTGTCGCAGTCCAGCCCCGCTCATTTGCGGGAGCCGTGCGCGCACGGGCTTGCTCCGTCCACGTGGCACCCCCGCGCCCGTTGCTGTGGGGGGTGGGTGGCGCCACAGGCTGGTCGCTGGCCCTCGAGAGTCCGGCCCCCCCCGCAGTCCACCCCTTCCTCGTCCTCCCCCGCCCTCCTGGCCAAGGAGGCTTCCCAGCGCCGATCCTCCTCCTCACTCCTCGTCCTCTCTCCCCTCCTTCCTCCTCCTCCCTCCTCCCTCCTCCTCCCTGCCCGTCGTCCTCCTCCCGTCCTCCCTCCTCCCTCGTCGTCCTCCTCCCCTCCTCTCCCTCCTCACTCCTCGTCCTCTCTCCCTCCTTCTTCTCAGAGGCCTCCTGGAGGTCTGCGGTCCAAGCGCACCCAGAGTCCTCCCGAGGGCCCAGGATCATCAAAAGCGGTCAGCCTTTGAGCAAAAGTGCAACAGTTGTTGGCCGACGACGACGACGATGATGACGCTGGCCCCCCCCCCTCCTGGCCTGGGAGGCTTCCCGGCCCCGATCCTCCAGTGTATCGAGGAGCTGGGGTTCCCAGCGCCCACGCCAATTCAGGCGCGCAGCTGTCGACCCTCGCTCCCCTCGTTTTCTCATTTGGCGGGGCGAGGAGGAGAAGGAGGAGGGGAGGGAGGGGGGAGGAACAGGGCAGGGAGGGAGGGTAACAAATCGAGGTTCCAGGATCTCTTTGTGTCACGTGCCTGGAGTTTCGTTTACTTCTTGAGGCCCCCACAGGAGCAGCATGTCCCACTCAGTATCCATGTCTCTTTCTCGTTCTGGGGTTTCTCTCTCTCTCTCTGTCTCTGTTTGTTCTCTCTCTCTCTCTCTCTCTCTCTCTCTCTCTCTCTCTCTCTTCATCAGGGCAATTATCGGATTGGGAGGATGGGCTCGTGAGCTGCAGGTGGTCACTACACAGTCATACACACTGCCATTGGCCATCGCATCCTCCAAACCCTCTGCATATTGAATTGTCTGCCGGTTGTCTTGGTGCTTCTGCTTGAACTGATTCGCGTTATTCGCTTCCATCTCTGTTGAGGCATCCTGCATGTTCAAGGCATCTGCTGATTGTATATACCGGAGCTCTTGACCCCATACGTTGTGTGGTCATCTGGAGCTTTCGACCCCATGTAGCAATGCAGTGTGGCAGGTCGCATGTGGGTAGGTAGGTAGCATCAGCAGTGTAGCATAAAGTGGAGAGGGTTGGACTGCAGCCCTCTTTGGCCCGTGCGCTGAAAAGGGCCCGTGCGCATCCGCGCGCGCTCCGACATGGTAGCGGAGCTGTGGTATGCCTCCTAAGGGCCACCGCAGCTCCGGAGGACCTTCGCCAAGCGGCTCGGCAGCCGCATCCTCCTCCAGGACTGGGGACGACCCTCGGTACCTGGCCGGCGCCCCTTGCCGCCACCAGCCGCGGCCGCAGCGCCGCGCCCAGCCCGGTGGTGAGGGCCACCCGTCTGCCCACGATACGGGCCGGAACGCGAGTGCGGCTCAGGAGCCGTCTCAGCGTCGCCGCGGAGAGCGTCGGAGTGTGGAGGCTAAGGAGCTTCGCCACCGACGCCAGTTCACCAAGCTGATCCTGAGGCGCGACCCGGACACCTCAGAGGCTTTGGCGAGCAACCTGGAGGCGAGGCGCTACGCTGATCTGGGTATCAGCGTTGAGGACACGCCATTCCAGGAGGACAGGCAGCGAATCGCCACCGCCAGGTCTGAGCCGCTGCGGCGCGCCGTGGTGGAAGGCCGCCCATACTTGGACCGGGAGGGCGAGCCGGACCAACTCTCGGGCGAGCTGCTGGAGACCAACAGCGATCAGTACCAGGAAGTGGTGCGCCAGTTCTGTCTCGTGGAGCAGGCTGACACCTCGACGCTTGTTCGGCTTGCGCGAGACGAGGTAGAGCAGCTCGTGTCGATCCAGGAGAGGCGGGGCGAGCTCCCTGACGGCGCAGAGGCAGACGCTCTGCTCGGGGACGTCGGCCGCACCTTGGAGAACAGGCGAGCTTCTATCTCCCAGTGGGAGCGTCGCCACGCTGACGCGGGAGAACTCCTCGAGTTTTTGGGCGAGATTCAGGTGGAGCGCAGAGCGGCTCGGGAAGCTGCCCGCGACCGTTCTCGTTCTCGTCAGCAGCAATGTCTACGGTTGAGGACCTGCAGAGCCAAGTCCGGCAGCAGGCGGGCCAGATCACCGAGCTGATGAACGAAATCAAAGAGTTGCGTGCCTCGCCTACTTCCGCTTCAGCTTCCGCCCAGGCGTCGTCACCGCAAGGGACTGGATCAGTACTCCAGCCATGTGTCGATACGCGTTTGATAGGTGAACCAGACACCTATCCAGGACAACGGGCGACATGGCCAGAGTTTCTGGCGCGGGCAGAGGCCACAGCAACAGTGGTGACGAATGCATCCCTGGAGCCAAGGGAGGCCAGTCTGTCGCCACAGCTGTACTACGTGATGGTAATGCTCTTCCGCGATGCTGTTCAGGACAAGATGTCTACCGTTCCTCCCGGGGAGGGTGTGGAGGCGTGGCGGCAAGCCATCCTCGACTGGGACCCGAAGGTCCGGACGAGGAAGGTGGGGTTGCTCATCAATATCCTCACTGCAAAATTCTCTGGGGACATCCCGCAGTCACTCGACCAGTTCGAGCATCTGGTTCGCGAGTACGAAGGACAGGCGGGACAGACTTTCGAAGAGGACCTCAAGATTGGCATTGTGATTGTCAACATGGTAGACACGACCGTCCAGCAGCACTCGGTAAAGAACTCCGCCAGACTGGAGACGTGGAAGGCCATGAAGGAGGAACTCCTTGACATGGCTAGAACAGAGCAGCACCTGAACTCTCAACCGAAGCCGATGGAACTCGGCGCAACACCAAAAGGCAAGAAGGGGGACGGGAAAGGCAAGAAGGGGGACGGAAAAGGCAAAGGAGGAGACGGGAAAGGCAAAGGAAAGGGCTCAGAGCCCAAAGGGAAGGCGAAGGCAGGAGCAGCTGAGAAAGACTGTTGGTATTGTGGTAAGAAAGGCCACATCGCCGCAAAGTGCAAGAAGAAGGCCAAAGACGCCAAGGACAGGAAGAAGCTGGCAGCAACCCCGGAACGACCGGGAGGCAGCGACACTGCGGCTCCGCACGCCGCCTTGTTGCAGGACCGTGACGAGGTCAGTCATGGCTTTCTGTTGCCAATGCTTCCTGCGTTGGAGACAGACCACCTGGCGGCGCTCCAGGGACCGAAAAGGGTGATGGTGGACACCGGAGCGGGAGCGTCCGTTTGCCCCACGTCCTTCGACGCTGCCGCCGCGGCAGACGCGTCTGTCAAGCCTGTGACGCTTGCGCCAGCCACAGGAGAGGAGGTCCGCCTACGAGACGGCAGGCGGTCCCACCTGCAAGCCGCCGACGGCACGGGGGTCACGTTGAGGTACAGCTCAAGTGAACAGGTGACAGCGCCTGTGGTGTCTGCGTCGGACGCCTGCGACGCAGGGAACTGGTTGGTTTTCGGCCCCGGGGTTCAGAAGGTCATCTCGTCGCGAGATGCCCAAGGCTTGCGCCAGGTAGCGCAGGCGACGCCTGGCCTAGACATGGTCAGAGACAGAGGCGTGTACTGGCTGGAGCTCTGGGACGAGCAGCCGGCAGGAGAAACGCGACCTCTCTGCCCGGCGAAAGCTGCAAAGAAGGCGTTTACACCGCCAGTGGCGGATCCGCCAGCGGCTCAGGAACTGCAGGCAGCAGAAGGATACCCCACGGTGCAGGAGGGGGGCTCGAGCGGGAGCGCGGATCGGAATCCGCCCCTGCAGGCGCCCCGCGGGCCAGCGCCCGCGCCTGCGCGACCAGACAAGCGACCGCGAACTCTGATGGTAGATTCAGAGGAAGCGAGGAGGCCCCGGGCGAAGAAGGTTCCACCTACAGTCACGCAGGCTGAGTGGGACCCCCATCAGCTCACACACCTGCCATTTAGGTCGTGGTGTGACCACTGCGTGTCAGGAACGCCACGGAGGACCCCCACGCGCAGCAGGAACCAGAGGCTGAGGGAGCAGTGCCCAAGATCTGCGTTGATTATCTGTTCTTAACGTCCAAAAGAGACGAGCAGGATATGTACGCAGTGTTGACCGTCTTGGACGCTAAGTCCGGAGGGCCGTTTCCAGGCATGGTGAACCAGAGGGGCGAGGACGATTACGCTCTAGCACTGATGAGCGAACCTGTGCGCTTCTGCGGGCGCACGAATATGTTGCTGCTTTCTGATGGCGACAAGCCAATCAATCGTCTGATCGATGTTTTCATCGAGACGCGCAGCAGCAAACATAGCGTGTCAAAGCGCAACACGCCGAAGGAATCCTCACAGAGCGCTGGTCTCATCGAGCGCAGTAACTACGAGGTGGAGAAACAGTACTGGGCTTTGAAGCACAGGCTTGAGTCCGTGTACAAACAGGTGTTTCCTCTCAGTGACAAAATCCAGCCGTGGCTCGTTCGCCATGCTGGATGGTTGCTGGTTCGTTTTCTGGTGAAAGCAGACGGTCGAACTCCCTACAGCCGGTTGTTCGGGAAGGACTACAACGGCGAGGTAGTGGAGTTTGGTGAGTGCGTGCACCACAAGTCGCCGCTATCCTCCGTGGGGACGGCAGACGACAGGTGGCATCTCGGGGTCTGGCTCGGGAAGAGCATGAGAGCAGACGAACATCTCGTTGGTACGTCCAGAGGAGTGCTCACGCGCAGGAGCATCTGGCGCAGGCCGGAGCAGCAACGCTGGGACAAACAGCTCTTAGACGCTTTCGTCGGATCGCCGTGGGAACCGGTGCCGCCGGCAGCCCGGGAGCTGCCAGAGGGGCCTTCGAGGCCACGAGACGTGTACATCACCTTGGACCGCATCATTCGGTTAGGCAAAACGCCTGACTGCCCCGGATGCAAGGCGCCAGGTGATGCGAGGCACACGCCTGCCTGTAGGGAACGCTTCGCGCGGTTAGTCGCTGTGGAGAAAGAGGCGCAGGAGAAGGCCCAGGAGAAGGCCCGGGAGCAGCGTCAGAGAGCTGCTGCCCACGCGCCGCCAGCAGCGGCGCAGCGGCCCCTACACCAGCACCGCCCGCACCACCGCCAGCACCACAGGAGCCCGGAAGGCCCGGAGGCGCAGGGGAAGTGGTTCAGGAGTCACACCGTTTCGCACCTGCGTCTGAAGACGTGCCAGACGTGCACATGCAGCAGCAGGAGATGCCGCGACCTCCTGTGGAAGCCCCGGACCACGAGATGGACGAAGCAGGCGACGGTTCACAGGAGAAGCGGTCAAGAACGATCGCTGGACTGCCAACGCTGCACGAGCCCAGCTTGGTGGCGGCAGCTGTGGGAACAACAGTTAGCTACCTCTGCTCAGCCATGGAGGGGGGGACCCAGAAGTGGTTCCTATCAACATGGACTGGAGCAAAGAGTACTTCTCAACGAAGGCCGGTGTCAAGCTTGACCCACAGAAGGTGCACGAAGGCAAGATCAAGGAGATGAGGCAAATCGATGCTTACGAAGTTAAGCATGATATCTCCTGGTCAGATGCCAAGCAGATGGGGCTCAAGCTGGTCAACGCCAAGTGGGCGCTTGAGCCGAAGCCTGTGGAGGCGGACCCGGAGGCAGTGCGAGCACGCCTGGTTGCAACAGAGGTGAACACGTACGCCAAAGAGGACGCAACGCAATCCACACCACCAGTAAAGGTGTTTAGGATCATCGTAAGCCTCGCTACGTCCAAGCAGCGCCCAGACGGCACTTGGGCAAGGCTCGTGGCAGGCTACGACGTTTCGGTTGCATTCTTTCACGCAGAGCCGACGGGCAAGACAGCGGTCATCCCGCCAGCTGACGCGCGGAAGGAAGGCTTCGCGTGGCTGTTGCGCAAAGCCATGTGCGGCACCGGGGAGGCGAGCAAGCAGTTCGACAGTTACGTGATCAAAGCTCTCGTGGGTGAGGGTTTCGTCATGATCATGGTCGTACCGATGGTGTTCGTACATCATGCGCTGGACATCAGTCTCGGGTGTCACGGAGACGATTTGTAGGCGGAGGCAGAGAAGGAGGCGCTGGACGAGCTTGACAAGATCACGCAGCGCCGCTTCGAGGTCAAGATATTCCTTCGTATCGGACCTCCGGAGCACGGAGGGCAGGCCACGGAGCTGAAGCACCTCAAGCGTACGATCCGGTGGACCAGTTGCGGATTCGAGTGGGAGGGCAATTTGGACCACATCACCAGCCTGATGGAGTTGCAAGGCCTGCAGCCTGGATCGTCCCGGGGCATGACAACACCCTCGTCGAAGGACACCGGGAAAGGTGATCGAGACATCACAGATCCTCTGGCGACGGGGCCGGCGCAACTCTTCAGGACAGCGGCCGGTACTTTGCAGCACCTAGCAGAGGATGTCCCGAGTGTCAAGCTCACCACGAACACGGTCATGGAGGGGATGACGACGCCTACCAAGATGCGCGCGCTGCGTCTGAACAGGTGCGCTCGTTACCTCCTTGATCATCCCGGCGAGATCTGGATCTTCGCGCACCAGAAGATGCCGACGCATCTGACTGAGTATTGCGATTCTGATTGGGCCGCCGACAGAGAGACGAGGGAGAGCATGTCATGTGTAGTTGAACGTTTTGGAGAGCACTTGCATTCGATAGATATGAGCGCGTCCGAACAGGCACTGCTTGCGCTGAGCTCTGGGGAGGCAGAGTTTTATACCATCATCAAAGGCACGGCGATGGGTGTACAGACGACGCAGGTCATCGAGGTAATGATGCGTCTGCCGTGCAAGTTGGTGGTTTTGAGCGACTCTTCGACGGCCCGGAGCATCTGCAACAGGCAGGGCAGTGGCAAGGTGCGCCATTTATCTGTGAAGGACCTGTGGGTGCAGGAGTTCTTCCGAGAGAAGCGCGGGGATCTGCTCAAGGTTGACGGCTCTGTCAACTGGGCAGGCCTCGGTACGAAGGTACATCCGAAAGCACGGCTGGACCAGCTACTCGAGATGATGCCGCTACGAAGGCGAGAGCCTTTGAGAGAGGGCTTGAGCACTCGAACGGTGACAGCATTCATAGCAGTGTTGACCCAAGGCCGCGAAAGCCTACGAAGGTGGGCTGCGGCAGCCTGGCGTGGCCCGGAGGCCCGCCCAGGGACCCGGCCGGAGCACGGAGTGGCCCTGTGAGCCACCCGCGGCCCGGACGAGAACACGAGCAGCGTGGTTGAAGTCGCGTCAGCCACGTACGCTGCGCTGCTGTGCATGCTGGCGGGCATGGCCCTGCTGCGGCCCAGAGAGCCGCGTGGGCAGGGAGACCCTCCTGTGGCTGAGGGAGCCGAGGAGGGGCACCGAAAGGGAGGACCACTGGCAGTGGCTCAGGAGCCGCGCTGGGGAGGCACCCAACAAAGCAGCAGCAAAGCAGGCTAAGAAACTAACCTTTCCGGCAGAAGCAGCAATGCCGGCAAACCCTAGTCTACCTAGGTACCCGCTTCTGGACTGATCGGGTTGGGCGTGTCTCTGCGTGGCTGGAGTCTGATCAACTCCCGTGCGGTGACGACAGAGAGGGGCGACCTTTGAGCATCGGTAGATGCAAGGACTGCTCGGGCAGCTGGCCCGACCACCTTTTACTTGTACAGTAGACTGCACCACTCTTCTCCACGCGTGGCTCCGGAGAGCCACCGGCACTAGGTTGCGGTCTAGTGAAGAGCCCTGACAAGCACGAACGAAGGCCATGTGAGGCTACAGACGCCTACATGGTGGAGGGGTGTTGAGGCATCCTGCATGTTCAAGGCATTTGCTGATTGTATATACCGGAGCTCTTGACCCCATACGTTGTGTGGTCATCTGGAGCTTTCGACCCCATGTAGCAATGCAGTGTGGCAGATAGCATGTGGGTAGGTAGGTAGCATCAGCAGTGTAGCATATAGTGGAGAGAGTTGGACTGCAGCCCTCTTTGGCCCGTGCGCTGAAAAGGGCCCGTGCGCATCCGCGCGCGCTCCGACAATCTCGCTGGAAACTATGTTCCCGCTCATAGCACTCACGCGCCTCTCTTTCATCGTCAACAGTTCCTTCTGAAGAGCACTGCTCTGCGCATCACGGGGTGGGCAGTATAGTCTTGCATCACCGATGGGGTCCGATCGGCAACGATGCTGCACCGCTGGTGCCGGCGCCTCAGAAGTCGTGGTACAGCCCAAGACGCCATGATCCTTTCATGACGACGGATCTCGTTATACCTCCAGCCCCTCCTTCATTTGGTGCATTGTGATTGGCATTCGCGGTCGTCCGAGCTCGAGACATGCGTGAGCGAAGCGCCGCGGGCAATATCCGTTCTTTGGCACGGCGTGGGCGTCCAATGCACACGGGGACGCAGGGCGAGGACGAGGAGGCGGAAGAGCGGATGGATACGCACTCATTGAAATGTCGCGCGAAGCGCCAGACATGCACATCAAGGCGGGGCGACCCGCTGGGCGCTCCACCAGGCGCTTCAGAGACGATCCCCGCCCACACACGGGATCACGGCAGACGACGAGAAGCAGCAGCAGGCGGCGGCGTCGGCCTTGGGCGGCCTGGTCTGCGTATTTGTGGAAGGGGCGCGCGCGGGACGCGCGCCCCTCTCTCACACCCGACGGCAAGATGAGATGGACGAAGAGGGCATGGAAGAGAGGGTGGGGGGCGCAGCAGGACGAGAGGCGAGAGGAGGACGACAAGAGGCAGCAGTGCTCGCGTGGGTAGTGATGCCCTTCCTGATGCTTGCTTGGCGTGGGCTGGAGGCTGGCGCACCCCCAATCGCGTGGCGGCCAGCCCCAGACCTGTCGCGCGCGCTTGTTCTCGGCCGTCACGGCGGGAGGTCGACCGCGAGCCCGCCACTTGCCCATCGTGCATGACCTCTCCGCTGACGCGCCGATGAGGTGCAACCGACGGCTCAGGCAGTACTGAGGCGGGATACGCTTAAGTTAAGCTGGACTCCATGTGTGGGAGCGTGATCACAGCAGGAGTCCCAGTGACAGACGGGCATGGCCGACCGCTGGGCAGCACATTCCCATCGCTCGTTCACATTCACGCCAACCTGCTCATCCCACGCAATCCGGCCACCTAGCTGCGGCCGAGCTTCGGCCACCACGCTCGTAGGACACGGGCTGGGGAGGGACCACCGCAGCCATGTTGATTATCGGCTGGGCTGGCACGGCCCTCGCGTTGAGCAGGTACATAGGCCCCTTGGGGGACAGCGGGTCGGTCGGTGTCCGCTCCCATCTTCCCCTTTCCCTCCCAAGTAAAATCGTTCAGGCATTGCCAACATACCGCTGCCGCTCTGGCGTTCCAACCTGCGTGGCGACCCATCGAGAACCGTTCAGAGAGCAGTAACATGTCATATTTGTCTGCCCTGGGCCCCAGATGGCCGAGCATGCCCTGCAAGGCGAATGCGTTGGATGGGTGCGATTGCCGTGGCACTGCGTAGATATGTAGCACCTCTTTGCCCCATACACCAGAGTTGACTACACGTAAGAGTGACCCTTCGCCAGAGTGACTTTTGATGCGCACTCACTGGGGTCCCCCGATCGCCGAGTGCGGTGCGATAGTAGCGTCTTGCGAGCTTGTGTTTGGTCCCCCAGCGGCCCCCCGGAAGCTGCGCACCACAGGTCACTCTTACCCAGGGTCACTCTTGCGCCGACAGAGCCCGCTGACCCCGAGGAACCACACAGCTCTACAATGTGACAGATAACAGATACCTTCCTTAAAGTCCAGAGCGGAATCACGAATGACAGCCGTCTGCCCTAAGACACAAGGGTCCGCAAGACGTAGCACCTCCGTTGATCACTGCTGCCCGCTGTCGGTACGCTGTGTGTTCACTAATTGCTCACAGCCGGATCTCGACCGATCGTTTCTCGCTCAGTGCAGGTCGTTGCATGGGCAATGATGCTCAGTATTGCCCGCTGAAACTATCTGCCTGCTCACTGCTGTCCAGTGTTGCAAGTTGCACTGGCTGCTCTTTTTCTGGCCACAGCGGCACGCTGATTGACCACTGCGTGTTGGCTGATCGCGTGCCGCAAGCTCACCGTTACGCATTACTGACGACTGATGCCCACCAGTGCTCATGGCTGGTCGCTGTTGCATTATGTTGTTCGTGGGCCAGCCTCAACTCAAAACTCGCGTCCACCGCAGAAGGATTCAAAAGGCATGTCCCTTTCGCAATAGTCAGCGTGGTCCACCCCTGCACGATACGTGTGGGGGTCCCGCAGCAGTACGATGCAGTGGTGATCAATGAGGAAGCAGTGAGCACGCAGTGCGAATGTAGTGAGTTGCGGAAATGGCCTCACCGCCTGCGCGCTGATCGACTACTGTTGCTGACCGATGGCGTGTTGCTGCCCACTGCAGGCCGCTGATCGAGCACCGCTGCTAATTCATGGCGTTCGCTGCTCGTTGGTTGCTCACCGCTGTTCAGTGTTGTTCAATGGTGGCCCATTGTGATCGTCCTCTTCTGCAAAAAACGCCACGTCAACAGGCACGCAACAACTACAACAAGAAGCATAGCAACCCGCACAACAACAAAGAAGAAACATGCATACCCAAAACAAGCAATGTACACACGAACAAGCACAACGCGGCATCACACAATCATATGTCATGGCGTTATGTTCTTCTAATCGGTGCTCCCTGCTGACCCATGCTCGCCCACTGCACAGAAATAAACGGTGCGACAAAATGCCTGCCGACTTCTGATGGTCGTTGCTCATTGATGGCCCAGCACTGACTGGCGCTTTCTATGCTGCCCGCTGGTGCTTTATGCTTGCCGCTGATTGGCTATCGCTGCGCAGTGCTGACCAGCGCTGCTCAATGTCTGTTCAAAGTTAATCGTTACTACTCACTGGTGCCCAGTGCTGGACACTGATGATCACCGCCGGTCACTGCGTCTCAGAGTTGATCACAGGTGTTTCATGCTACTTCTGGGTGTTTTTTTGTTCGCTGCCTGCCCGCTGCTGGTCAGTGCTACGCAGGTCTGATCAGCGTTGCTCACGGGTGGCCGTTGTTGCGCAGTAGTGTTCGTTGATGCTTATTGTTGCTCGCTGTCAGCTCAGGCCACTGATTGTTCACTTGTTGCCCACAGCTGCCGATACTACGTTTCCTGCTGAGCGCGCCTGATCACTAGTGCTGACAGCCCGCCTAACGCTTCCACAAATGCTATTATTCAAAACTTGGCTCAGTGCTGCCCAATGCTTCTCAATGGTGCTCACTGGTGCTTGTGGCTCGTCTGGGTGCGGTCTGCTGCGCACTTGCTTGCGTTACTGCGCCAGCAAGGTTCGCTCATCGGGAGCTCGCTGCTCAGTGCTGCTGCTCTCTACTCTGCGTGGCTGGTCCCCTTGACCAGGTCATTGCTGACAACTGATGCCCATTGGTCGTTGCCGAAGCATTCTGCAGGGTGCCATTGGGCGTGGTGATGATGGTGGTAATGGTGTCGATGGGCGTGGATGGAAACACAAAATTTGGATCGCCCCCCTTTCCCGCAATTGTGTCGCCCCCCCCACTCCACCCCCTGTTAAGGGCACTACAACAGGAATTGATTTCAGAGCCCAGCACGGAGGGATTCGAGATCCGTCCCTCCTCCCCCTCCCCTCCCCCCTCCACAGGCGCCTCATTCCGGCCACGCGCAGAGTGGGGTAGGGTGAGGAGGGAAGGCTTCTTAGAAGCACCCTGCTTCTTTGAAGGCGCTTGCCTTGTCTATAGATGTAAGGCCCGCGCCTTCTAAGAAGCAGCGTCCTTCTAAGAAGCATTCCCCCATGCCCCTGCCTCCCAGTCTGGCTAAATCTTGGGCTTGATCAGGGCTAACCCGACTCAATGGCCCCCCAATTTGGTTTGATAGTCCTTAATCGGTCTTGCCAAGGCCTCCCAGAAATTGCCTCCGAACTTGCAAGAAGCGTTCAGAACACCCGGGGCCCCCCGTAAGGGTCCTCAAACAGGAGACCTCCTGGAGTTCGCCTGGTGTCCCGGAGGGCTACGCCACAAGGTGAGGCCTCCCGCCACCTCGCCGAGGCCTCCCCCCATAGACCCATTTCAAAACCTGCCTCCCCCCACCCTGGAGTGCTGCCTCCCCCTTCGTAAGATTACGCGGTGCCGCCCCAGCTCACGACCCATGCAGAGGCCTCCAGAGTCCTAAGCACATCCAAGCTCAACAACACCTTCGGTTCTCGAGGAACCATGGCAAAATGTAGCATCCTACCCCTCCCTTGCCCCAAGCCCTCCATTGCCTCCCTCCTCGTCGTGGAGGAGGCAGGGGAAAACATGCGTCACGTCCCTGAAAGGCGGGCTCCAGGGAGGAGACGGAGGGGGACGCGGTGATGAGGATGGCAGGACGGCGTGGCCCAGGAGGAGGAGGAGGAGGAGGAGGAGGAGGAGGAGGAATTGGAAAGCCAAGTTCGAGGATCGACTTCCTGATAGTGTTTGGTTTTCGCCGCGTCTCCGGAGACCTCGGGGATCTCAGCAGATGTCCGTGGGTTTGCGCAGATAGCCGCATAATGCGCGGCCAAGAAGTATCCCAGAGGCCACCCGAGACTTTCGGCACCCAACGAAACGGTTCTTAAGGACCCTACACCTTCCTCACTCCTTCCCCTCCCCCCTCCCTCATCCTCGAGGAGGGCCCAGAAAGGCAACCGAACCCATGAAACCCTATTCGATCCCCCGTTCTCGAGGATGGGCGGTGGGAAGGACAAGGACGGCAAGAAGTTGAAGGAATTGATGAGGAGGAGCACGAGGAGGCCTGGAAGTGGGAGTTCACGAAGGGCAGAACAATCAGAGAGGGGCAAGCTCTGGGGAGACCCAAACATCCGTCGCCGTTGTCTCACAACGTGCCTCCCCAGATGCCTGTACTATTTCCCATACACCCGCTATTCATCCCGAACCGTTTTGGACTGTCCTGGGGCCCGGCCAGGGCCCTTGGATGCCAGAAGCGGCGAAACATGTCCGTGAGAATGTTTGTTCCATGACGCGAGGAGGTTGATGGGTCCATAGGGAGACTGCGCCCGGCCGGGGGTCGGCGGGGGGGCGGGCCTCTTTCCAGGCAGGCTTGTCTTTCGAGCGTTCCGCGGAACGCTCTCATGAGCGTCCCCCGCGCGCCCCGGAGAGCCCGGCGCGGCGCCCGGGGCATCTTCCGGACCCGCTGGCTCCGACGCCGCCCTCGTCCCGCCGTCGTCTTCGCACTCCGCCCTCGGCGCCCCCCAGGGCGCCAGCCCTCCGGCGTCGGCCCGGCGGCCGGCGGCCGCGCCAGGCGATCGGTTGGCCGGTGGCGCTCTCGGGCTTCGACATGGTGGGGCTGGCCCAGACCGGCAGCGGCAGCCCGGGCCCCCCCATGCAAGGGCCGCCCGCCTGCGCTGCGCGCCCGCACTCTGGTTTTTGCGCCCCGCAGGCGCCCGAGGTGTTCGGGCAGGTGTCAAGACGGAGGTGTTTGCCGGCTGTCAGAAGAAGACTCCGGATGGAAAAGCGGGCCCCCCAGAAGACGCCCACGCTGTGAGGCAAACGTGACATCGGACGCGTTCGGCGCCTGCGATGCGCGGTTAGACTGCACGTGTCGGAGCGTTCTCGGTCGCATCGGGACGCCGTGTGTAAGCTCAAGGCGGGCATCCTGCGCCCCGCGTTGGGCGCCCGAGGCCTTCGTGGATCGATCTGGCTCGAGGCGACCGTTGGCCCGTCCCGCCGCCGTGCCTGGATTGTACAGGTCAGAGGCCTCTGAGGGTGCCTGTTGGGATCTCTGGGGAGGCCTTTCAGAAGCCTCTTGGAGGCAGTTCGGGAGTGTTTGGGAGCCTCTCGGGGGCATCTTGGGGGCCTTTTGATGCCTCGTTTGTGCCTCTTTGGTCTCTTGGGACTCTTGGGGGCCTGCTGGTGGTCTCGGGGGTCATCTTGGGGCGGAGGGCTCGCCATGACAGTATGTGTTCCCCCACGTCGAGCTCTCTTGGGCCATCTTGGGGCGCCTTGAGGCCCTCTTGGACAGTCTTGGAGCCCTCTCGGGGGTCTCTTGGGTCGTCTTCAGGCGATATTGAAGTCCTCTTGAGCCGAAACGGCGAAAACTGTTAACATCTTTCAAAACGTAGTAAGGACAATGTGCGATGTGTGCTTTATGGGCCCTCTTGGGGGTCCTTTCGGAGCCCTCTTGGGGCGTCTTGGGGGCCTCTTCGACAGTCTGGATGCAAATTTGGGCGCCATGGGGCGCTCTGGGACCTTTATGGAGCCCTCTTGGACCGTCTTGGAAGCCTCTGAGGACACTCTTGGACCCATCTTTGCTTCTCTGGCCTCTGGGAAAGTCAGGCGACCGTGCCCCGAGAGCACCAACGAGCGCCTGGAACTCGGGTGTTTGCGACCCTTAAGAAAAATGTGCAATACTCCGTATGCAATACAATTGATTCTAAGGGACCTGAGGGCACTTCACTACGTGTATCGAGGTACGGTGGCGGATTAAGGGTGAATGGTGCCGGGAGCTCCAACGGAGGTAGGTGGTTCTCGAATTGTCAGAGGTTGTGGATGTACGACTCAACAGTAAGCAGGGTATCGGGAGGGCTTCCCAAACCAGGCTTTGCCGAAGGGGCTCCAACTCCCCTGCTGCAGGAAAGCCGCTGGCGACGTGTGAGGTCCCACCTGGTCCTGGGCGGGTGGGTGGGGGCCGAGGGTGCGGTCACTCGGGCGCTTCTTGGGCTTCATCGGGGGCAGGACGAGTTCTTGGTTGCTGTGTGCTGCTGTGCTTTGATCTGCATCGTCTTCCATTGCGTCGCATTGACTTGCACTGCTCTTACTCGGGATACGCTGCATGGAAGTGCTTGCTCAGCGCTGGTTCGGTGTGCTGGTTTTCCGTCTCATGAACGTCGCTTCGTGTTGTGGTGCCACAGTTTACGTTTCGCATTACATTGTTTTGCAGTTTGTTTGCATTGCCTTGCATCGCGATTCATGGTATGGTTGTGTGCTCAGTGGCATGGTATCCATAGAAGTGCATCTTGCTGTCCTACTCTGGAGTAATTTGAATTGCTTTGTGCTGTCTGCTGTGTTTTTTCTCGCTTTGATTTGGATTGTTTTGTGGGGTGGCGGTTGCATTCCTTCGTACTGTTCGCATGTGGGTTCTGCACATGAATGCGATTCATGCTGGGTATTTCTTTGGATCAGTGAGCTTTCGGTGAAGACGCTGGAGGGTAATTGGGCAAGGGGGGTGCAGCTGGCGCGACGAGATGTTCAAGCCGAGCTTCATCGGAGTGCTCTCATGCCTTTCGTTGTTCTGCTCTCCAACGTTGAGTATCCTGGTGTGGGTAAGTTCACGGTATCTTGAGCCTGATGATCACGGCTGGAGGGGAGCGAGGATTACCAGCAAACCCGGCTTTGGAGAGGTGCCTTCAGGTTCTTCGTATTTGGCCTTCCACCTCACAGCGCTGTTCATTCCCGGCGCCTCCATGGGGCTTTAGGACTCCCGCGCAGGGGCTCACGTTCTCGACCCACGCCTTTGTCGCCCTGCCCCGACGTTAAACGATTGTGCTGGCAAAGGAAGCGCGGGGCGACCCCACCACCCGAAGGGGGGAGTGAGGGAGGAGGGAGGGTGGAGGGTGGGAGTGAGGTTTTCTTCCACTTACACTCGGATGCCAACGGGCGTGAGAGGGGAGGAGGACGAGGAGGAGGGGGACTCGTCGAAGCCCTAGACGCATCAACAATGTTGGTCTAAACCCTCCCTCCAAATTACCTCTTTTTAGATTCCCAAAAATGTATTGTCATGTTGGGAAGTGGCAAATGAGAAGACACCCGTCCGAGAATCCTCGATCATGCCAAAACGCTGTTTTGGGGACCCCAGCGACGCGGATCAACGTGCCTGTTGCGTCCTGACACGCCTAAACCGTACCAAAACACAATTCCTGGCACTTCAACGTTGCGAGTCAACGCTATTCGGTGCGCCCCGACAATCCTACCCCGTGCTAGAACACCATCCTTGGGACTTCAACCACACGAATCCTTGAAACTGCTGCGAACTTGTAAGACGAATGTGCGCGGCGCTGAGGCGAGAGCCACATCTTGAAAACGGCCCGCCCTCCATCCGCGAGATTACTGCAACCTTGAATGCCAATGTGCGCGGCGCGCTCAGGCGATAGCCACATTTTGAAAACGGTCTGCCCTCCATCCGCGAATCGATTGCAACTTCGTAACAACAGCTTCGAGATCACAACTAGCGAGGAAGTTTCAGGCGAGACGCCCAGCCCGCCCTACCGACACGGCTGGGGCTGCGACAGGGACGCTTTGTTTGTAAGGAGTCGGGATGGAGAGCCTCCCCGCACTCCCGCGCAGGCAAGACCCTGGCCTACCTCTGCCCCGCCTTCGCGCACATCGCGGCGCAGCCGCCCCTGGACGACGGCGCGCGCCGTCGAAGTCTGCTGCCGCCGCCGCCGTCGGCGGCGGGAGCTGCTCATCCTGCTGCCTGGGCGGGACTTCGCCCAGCGGAGCAGGAACGAACAGTGGCATGAACAACTTTCGGAGGCACGTGCGGATTTCTTGGGTCGGAGCTGGGGCCCCCTGGCGGCGCGTCCCGCGTCGCCCCTGACGCAGTCCGCACGCCAGGCAGGGGGGTCAGCGGTCAGCGCCGGTCCAAGACATCCTCGGTTGTGGATTCTGGTCAACGGTTTCTGTTTGGCATCGTAATGTCAGCTTGTGGTTAACAGAAGCAAGCCAGGCGCGTGATTCAAACAATGGTTTCCCTGCTCGGGCGAATCGTGGGGTGGGGGCGCCAGATGGAAACGCACCGCGGCGGCGCCGTGCATTAGCGCCGACACCCGGCCGACAGCTGGAGGGCGACAGGCGCGACGCAAGCGGAGCCGATTCCGCGGGGGACAGCAGCGCCTCCGCGATAGCGGGGCGGCTTGGGTCAACATGGTCACAGGCAGGAGAGAAACAGGACGCAGGAGGAAGAGGCGCTTGACAGCTGGCGGGCGGAGTCGGCATGGCTACAAACAAGACTGGAAAGAAGGAAAGAGGGCGGAGGAGCGGCAGAGGCAGGCGGCCACTGCTCCTCCTCCTCCTCCTCCTCCTCCTCCTCCTCCTCCTCCTTCTCGGCCGGTCGTTTGCCGTTGTGGCCAGAGATGGGCTTGTTCGAGGTTCGACCAAGTAAGTGCCCTCAAACGCCAAAGTCGTCCCTCCCAGAGCACCAGTGGAATTGGGTAGGCAACGCCAGGCAGTGCAAGTGGTGTTTCAACGGTTCGCGATTTGTCACGAAACTTAGCCTCGGGGCTTGCAAGGGCGGAGTCGGGATCGGGATCAGAGGCTGCAGTGCTCCTGAAGTTCAGGAAGTTTGGCCATGAGATGCTGCTGCCTGAAACAAGCGGTAGCACTTTTATCTATGTGTGCGCGAAGCGTAAGCACTACACATTGGGGGCCAGGCCCGTGGCTTGAGGCAGCCATTCGTCCCATCCAACGGCAGCATGCACGGCAGGCTGCACTTATGGAGGCTAATATCCCAAGGACCTTACCCAAAGAAGGTGGGTGCGTTCCTAGAAGTGGGCGCGGGCGAGAAGGAGGGGGCGTTGTCCAGCACCCCACCGATAGATCCCCGAGCGGGGCTAAGCGACGACGTCCCCAAACAAATGTTCAATTGCGTACGGTGTCCCCTACGCTGCGCCCCATAGAGGTGGCATGAGGAGCTTCGCACGGGGACGGCTCCAGCTCATGGTCCGACGGACTAACTCCGTTGAGCCGTTCA